AGGAAAACGTACATTTTTTAGCACATACGGCTTTTGGGCTTTTACGGCGTTGACGACGGCCCAAGAGGCCCCCAAGACCGCCCCAAGACGGCCCAAGAGGCTCCCAAGAGGCCCCCAAAACGGCCCAAGAGGGCCCCCAGACGGCCCAAGAGGCGCCCAAGGCGGCCCAAGAGGGCCCCAAGACGGCCCCACGAGGGGGACCACGAACCGAAAAGTCTAGCCTTTCGCCTCAAGACGCTCCCAGGAGGCCCCAGGAGCCCCCCCAGAAGCCCCAAGAGGCCCCCAAGAGGCCCCCAAGAGGCCCCCAGGATATCCCAACAGGCCCCCAAGAGCTCCAAAAGAGGCCCTCAAACAGCCCACAAGTTCTTGACACCAAGGCCCAGCCAAGGCTCAGGAACGGGCGGCAACGTAACAATCTCTGAACACCAAGGCCCCCAAGAGGCTCCGAGAGGTTCCGAAAGGGGCCCACAAGAGGTCCCAAAACGGCCCATCAGAGACTTCGACACTGGCCCCATCAGGCCCGCCCCAAGAAGTTCCCAGGAGGCCCCACGAGGCCCCCAAGAAGCCTGCAGAGGTCCCCAAGAGGCCCCCAAGAGGCCCGAAGAGGTCCTTAAGAGACCCAAAAGAGCGACGATGATGATGGTAATGCTGGAGATGATCATGATGATGGTCATGCTGGTGATGAGCCTCGACCAAGACGGCTCAAGACGGCTTTCAGATCGCTCCAAGAAGGCCCAAGAGAGCCCCAAGCCGGCCCCAGAGGGAGCTCTTCCCAGCAAGGCTCCCAACAGAAACACGCGCTTACCAGCAAGGCTCCCAAGAACGAGCGTTGACGCAACCAGCTCTTACCACCAAGGCTCCCAAGAGCGAAGGGTGCCATGAGGCATCTCGGGCTGGTTGCTGCAGCGCTCTTTCCGTTCCCGTGCCGGCCCAGGTAACGGAAAGAGCGAGGTACGAGGGATGACGTTCTGGTGTGGGCGAAGCCCCTTAAGGGGGTCCAGGGGGGGCGCGTAGCGGGCACGAATGGGCTCTAATGTTTTTGTTGGGGGTTTTCCCTCGGGTTTTTGCATGTTTTTCGGGTTTCTCCCCCAAGACGGCCCAAGAGCGCTCCGAGAGAGCCCAAGACCGCCCAAGATGGCCCAAGAGGCCTCCAAGAGGCCCCCAAGAGGCGCCCAAGGGGCGCCCCCAGAGGACCCCAAGAGGCCAACATCTTTGATTTTCCAAAGGAAAACGTACATTTTTAGCACATACGGCTTTTGGGCTTTTACGGCGTTGACGACGGCCCAAGAGGCCCCCAAGACCGCCCCAAGACGGCCCAAGAGGCTCCCAAGAGGCCCCCAAAACGGCCCAAGAGGGCCCCCAGACGGCCCAAGAGGCGCCCAAGGCGGCCCAAGAGGGCCCCAAGACGGCCCCACGAGGGGGACCACGAACCGAAAAGTCTAGCCTTTCGCCTCAAGACGCTCCCAGGAGGCCCCAGGAGCCCCCCCAGAAGCCCCAAGAGGCCCCCAAGAGGCGTCCCAAGAGGCCACCAGGAGGCCCAAATCATATATTTTCGATTGGAAGACGTACATTTGTAGCATACACGGCTTTGCGGCTTTCACGGCGCTGCAGACGGTCCAAGAGGCCCCCAAGACCGCCCCAAGACGGCCCAAGAGGCCCCCAAGAGGCCCCCCAAACGGCCCAAGAGGGCGCCAAGACGGCCCAAGAGGCGCCCAAGACGGCCCAAGAGGGCCCCAAGACGGCCCCAAGAGGGGGACCACGAACCGAAATGTCTAGCCTTTCGCCCCAAGAAGCTCTCAGGAGGCCCCCACATCCCCCCAAGAAACCCCAAGAGGCCCCCAAGAGGCTTCCAAAAGGGCCCCCAAAGGGCCCCAATAGGACTCCCAAGAAGGCCCAGAGACGCCAAAAAAGAGAGCGATCGGTAACGCAAAAAGCTCTTCACACCAAGGCTCCCAAGAGCGAACGGTGACGGTAACAAGCTGATAAGACCAAGGATCCCAGCAGAGAGCGGTGACGTAACAAGTTCCTGACACCAAGGCCCAGCCAAGGCTCAGTGACGGGCGGCAGCGCAACAATCTCTGAACCCCAAGGATCCCACGAGCGAGGGGTGACGTAACCAGCACTCAACGCCAAGGCTCCCGGTACGAACGGTGTGTGCGTAATTTCGGTTTCTGTTGCTGCAGCGCTCTTTCCGTTTCTGTGCCGGGCCCAGGTCTATCGAAGACGCCTACGGCGAATCACCGCCGCCCCCTGCCTTTTTGGAAGCGCCTATGTGGCCGAACGTTGAGGCCAGATTTGCCAAGCCATCGGACCATGTGTTCCCCGAATCGGTTTGGAAAGCCTTCGGGGAACACGTGGGCATCTTGAAGGTCATCTTGGCCGTCTTGGAGGCCTCGTGGGCGATCTTTCGGCGATCTTTGGGGGCTCTTGGGCCGTCTCGGGCCGTCGGAAGGCCGAAAAAAAGGAACTGTCAAAATCCTTCGAAAACCTTCGGAAAATAAAGGTTTTTGGCCTTTTCCCTCCTTCGTGGAGGCCCTCTTGGGGGCCTCTTGGGCCGTCTTGGGCCAGCTTCGAACCACCTTCGGCCATCTTGGTGGGTTCCTGGCACGTCTGACGCCGTGGGGAGCCGTCTTGGGAGCCTTTCTGGGCCAACCGGGGACCCTCTTGGGGCGCTTCGGGGCCGTCTTGGAGGCCATCTTGGGCGTCTTGGAGGCCATCTTTGGCGTGTTGGAGGCCTCTTGGGCCGTCTTGGGGCCCTTTTGGGGCCAACTTGGAGGCCACTTGGGCCCTCTTGGGGGCCTCTTGGGCGATCTTGGGGGCCTCTTGGGCCGTCTTGAGCCGTCGGAATGCCAACGAGAGGCAAATGCCAAAATCCTTCAAAAACCTAAGGAAAATCAATGATTTTGGCCTCTTCGGGCCCTCCTGGAGAACCTCTCTTGGAGGCCTCTTGGGCCGTCTGGGAGGCCTCTGGGGGGCCTCTTGGGCCGTCTTGGGCCATCTTCGACTCTCTTGGGCCGTCTTGGAGGCCGTCTTGGACCATCTTGGGCGGACTTGGAGGCCATCTTGGGCCATCTTCGCGATTTTTTGAGGACGTCCCGAGCAAAACGGCTGTTTCTTGAGCCATCTTGGAGGATTTTTTCCGCATTGAGCACCTTTCCGGGTGGCTGGCGGGACGGGCCGGAGCCCCAGGGGGAGTTCTTTTGGAAAAAGAACCAAAACCAAAACCGAAAGGGTCTAGCACGCCAGGCACCCCTGCGATGAATCGACAGGGGGCGGCGGATTGGCCTTCGGCCCATCCCGCCCCCGTTCCTGGATTGGGTCAGAGGCCGCTCGAGGCCTGTTTTGGGGCGCTCGTAGCTCTTTAATACTGCTCGAAGCGCTGGGGAACCGCGTGAGGCACGCCGAGAAGTCAAGAAACTTTCAGAATTTGAGGTCCGGGTCCCTCCATAGTCAATCCTGAAGACTTCGGATTGCGGGCTAGAAGGGACCTGAGGGCAGTCCAATTCGTGCCTCGCAGCATGGTGGCGGATGCACCACGTCGTTTGCTCGTCCAAGGTGCCAGTGAATTCGGCGAAGGAACTCGTCATGGCGCCTGGCCTCTGTCGACCGAAAAGGTAGATGTGGCTGGAAGAAACATGTGGCCGAAAGCCGACAGCGCGCCCGAAAGTGTGGCCGAAAACGGAGCGCAACCGAAAGTGCGACCGAAATTTACCGTCGTGTTGGCTTCGAACAAGCCTTTTCGGTCACGTCAGGGTTCCTTCGGGCGGGCGCAGGCTTCGGTCCCGCTCGGGCAGAGGGCCCCCCCCGATGGAGACGAGGCTACATGACACTCTGTGCACAGACGCTCCAGCGTCCCACAGGTTGGACATCTGGGTCGTCTCCGACCACACGACGTGCACCTCCTGGTCGCCGTCGCCGACGTCGCAGCCACTCCAGATCTCCGACGACACGGTTTTTGTTCAATTCGGGGTCGTTCTGGATTCGCCTTCTGCAGCGAGGCCCGTTGTCGGGCCCTCTGGGGCCCGTTATTCAATTGGCTTACGCTATTCCGCCGACCTCCCAGGTAGGGCCTTTTGGAGGCCTCTTGGTGGTATCTGGGAGGCTTTTCGGGGCTCCTCGAAGGCAACTTGGGGGCTTCTTGTGAGCATGGTGGAGGCCTCTCGTGGGCGCCTCTGTGGCCTCTGGGGGCCAACTGGAACCATCTTGGGGGGAAATGCTCGACATGTCAATTCGTATTTCCCTTCTTTGGCCTCGCATAGGGCTCTATTGGCGCTCTTTTGGGCAGTCTTGGGAGCCCCTGGGACCGTCTTGTGGACCTTTTGGGCCGTCTTGGGGCCCTCTTGGGGGCCTCTTGGGGGCCTCGTGGGCCTTCGGGGGCGATCTCTTGATCCCCTTGGGCCGCTGTCAAGACGGAAGAGGCGCGCATGTAGAAAGTATATGTTCTCCTTTACAAATGTAACGGTTTCTGCCTCTTGAGGCTCTCTTGGCGGTCCTCTTAGAGTTCTCTTAGGGAGTCTTGGAGACTTGTTGGCTTGCCTTGAGGCTATCTGGGATGGTTTGGATCCCAGCTTGCGCAAGCTTAGATGGAGTCGTGGGCATCTGGGGGGCCACGGGCTGTAGATTTGGAGGCTCCAGAAGCCTTCGGGCACTCTGGGGCCCGTAATTATAGGGCCCCGGGGCCATCATAAGTGGATCACTACATCCCTCGGGAAGCGGTCTGGACAGTAGGAGTTGACAAATCACATGCGCGAAAGAAGAAAATGATGTCGACTGCGCCGACATTCGCGCGTAAGCTCCCCGCGTGAGGCCACGCGTAGTCGCCCTCGTCTCCACTGGAGTGCCGCGCTGGCGGCCCGCGCAAGCCGGCGCGTTGGGTCGCCATGCCATCTTGCGCAAGACCTGTTTAGTCTCGTCGCTCACGTCGCCAGACATCTGGGATCGAGGTCGCCGCCGCCGCCGTTGCTGCCGCCGTCGTGGTGGTGTGTGGCCGTCGCCGCCAGGAGCCTCTCGGCCGACAGCGGGCGGCCGGAGGGCGAGTGCTGCGCATGCGCCCGGCTGTTCAGGTGCCTGCTGGTGCAGCAGCCGTGCGCGGGCAGCGGCGCTCACGTGGCAAAGACGGGCTCTCGGGGGGTGGGGAGGGAGGACGGGGGGGGGGGGGATGGTGTCAGTTTTCGGGGGGGGAGGACGAGGTGGGGGGAGGAGGGCGTCAGTTTTCGAGCATGATTGTAAGGTGCCTGAAGTGTTGGAGGCCCGGGGTGGTGGGGTGGTCTCCGTTAGCTGCGCCTCGGGAGCGCTCCGGGGGCGCCAGGATCGTCCCGCGCGGAAGTTGGAGGCCCGAGCTGTGGCTGGCAACCGCTCGGACCAGGGACCACAAATTACAGCTGCGCCGGCAGCTTCTCACACCCGAAGGTGCCCGCACCCTCTTGGCAAGGTGTGCGGCCCCCCCCCCCCCGCGTCGCCCAGCCTGGCGGTTTCACGCGCGGGGCGCCAGGGATTCAAGTACCCCGCGGGAGGGTGGGGCGACAGCGCGCGCGCCGTCCGCGACGGCAGGACGAAAGCGCTGACGCCTACAGGATGCAAACGCCAAAGCTTGCAACCCGCGCGACCCCGAGGCGCGCCGCGAACCGTCCCGACGGGATCCCCGCGGCGTGCCAGCACGGAACGCGCACCGCGAAGCAAGCGGCGAAAACGCTCGCGCGCGCCGCGTGCCCACACCCCGCGCGCGCGCGAGCCCTTCACGCGGGGCCGCGCACAGCGAACCGCATGCCGTCACCTCGAACGCGCGCGGACTCTTTTGCGGGGCTGCGCGCGGCGATGCGCATGCCGTTGCCCCCCCCCCTGTCGCGCGCGCGGCTAGCTCTTCGCGTTCGGCTGCGCGCCGCGAGGCGCAGGGTAGCGGGACGCGGCCCGTGCGCACGGTTCGCCCGCGCGCGCGGGGGCCAGGCGCGGGCGCGAAATTGGTGTCCGCGCGCAACGCAGCTCAAGTGTGCGATGGCGCTGTGCGCCCACCACAATTTACAGCTGCGCCGTCGGCCTCCCGCACCCGGAGGTGCCTGCACCCGGGTGCGGCGCCCCACGCGTCGTCCAGCCTGGCGGTACCAGTCTGAGCCGACGCGCGGGGCGCCAGGGAGAGTACCCTTAACATATGTACACCATTGCAACGCGCGGCGGCGACGCGCGCGGCACGCGCACCCCTCTTGCGAACACGGACGACGTTTGCGGCGGCGCCGCGGTTCCACAACGCGCAATGACGGGAAAGAAAAGCACGAGGGCAGCGCGCAGCGCTTGGGTTGCCAGTGCCTAGCCCAGGTCGTCTTCAGACTCGGCCAGGTGCGCCTCGACCGCGGCGCCGAGTTTTAATTGCGTCATATCGAGGTGCGACAAGAACGCGGGCGATGAGGAGCATTCGCCCGGTTGGCGATCTCGCGCAAGGTGCCCCCCTTCTGCTGAAGGTTCAATGCGGACCACGCTCAGCTGGCCGGGGACAGGACACAGCGTGCTCAGCGAGCTTGCCGCGCGAACGCCCTTGGACGGCCCGGCGGCCATGGGCACGTCCGCGAACCAGGCACCGAGCGCGCGGACTTCGCGCGCCGCGGCGCAGCGGGCGCGCCGGCACGCCCGCCGAAGCGCGAAACCGAATTGCTTGCCCTTGCGACGCGAAAAGTGGAGCTGCAAGAGGCCGTCGCGCAAAATGAGGGGGGCCCCCTGCGCCCTCGTGAAAGGCGACGACGTCGGACGAAATGCCCGAGGCTTCCGAAGGGAGGCGCAAGATAAGTGTGCACCTGCTAAGAAAGAGCTGCGCGACGACGGCGGACTCGCGCCGCTCTTTTGCTAGCTTGAGCAGCGCGAAAACTGCGCCTTCCCGGATGAACAGAGGTGCCCTGGGCAGGAAGGCGCCGCGCTTGCGAATCGCGCGCTTGGCGCTGCGCCGGGGCGCGCCACGAAATTCGCCTCCGGGGGGCCGCGGGCCTGGCGAGCCAGCTTGACGCGCGAGAGATATTCAGAAAAGGTCTGGAGCGAAATGACACCGACCGCGCGAGCAGCCCGTCGGCGGACGGCAGCAGCTCGCGTCCGCGCAGCGCGAAAGCTTCACGCGCGAACGCGAGCCACGCTGCCGCGCCGCTTGTGGAGGAGGCGACGGGGCGCGGGCGCGCGCCTGGGAGGGCCGCCGCGCGCGCCGAAGACAGCCGCTCGGCGACGCCGGACGGGCCGCCCTGGCTGTCGAGCCGCCGGCGCAGATTGCGGAGCTCCGCGCGCGGGCCCCCGCTGCGCTGCGGCGCGCAGTTCCCTTGCGCCACTGCCATCCTTTCTTCGAGGAGCGCGTCGACGGCGGCGCCCCTGGCGTCGGGCGCCCGCGCCTGCGCCGGCCGCTCGGCGCGGGCTTCTTCCCGCGCGCGCGGGTGCGATGCTGCTGGGGCGCGTCGCGAAGTGCGCGAGCCTGCTCGCGCGTCGCGAGGTAGCTGCGCGAATGCAAGCGCTTTTGGCCGCCGCCAAGATCCGCGCCCTGAGAGTGAGTGTGGCCCCAGCGAGCGCGGGGGGTCGCGACGCGCTTTCGGCGGCCGGCGCCGCCGCGATTGCGTCGTACCACGCCGCGTCGCGCCTGCCTCGGCCGGCTGCTCTCTCCGGGGATATTCGCGCGGCGGCGGCGCGCCCGGCCGTCGCCGAACCGCCGGGCGTCGCGCGAACCGCCGGGCGTCGCCGAACCGCCGCGCGTCGCCGAACCGCCGAACCGCCGATGCGCATGGCGACAGTTCGCGCGCGCCCGGGCTCTGCCCCGCCCCGATGCAAGGCAGGTTTGGCGCGCGGGCCGATCTGTCGGCCGACGGGTGCTCGCGCGCCTCGCAGCGGCGCCAGCGTTGCAGACGAAGGCGCCCAGGCCGCGGGCCCCCGGAACGCTTCGCTAAGACGCGGCTGAACGAAAGAGGCACCGATCGCGAAGGGGCCAGCGCTGCTCTCGCGACGGCAAATCGGCCGCGTCAAGCTTAGTGGGCGCGCGGTCGACGCTGAGCGAGACGCGCAGTTGCGTCGCCTGCAGCCGCGGCGAATTGATGAGACGCGCAATTTCCCAACCCATCGAATCATCGAAGAGCCCTTTCCGCGAAGCTGCCTCGGCCCCGGCGCCGTCAGACCAGGGGCGCGCGCGCCCGCCCGCGAGCGCGCCGCCGAAGGTGGAAAAGGCCAAACGCCATCGCAAGCGGTTCGGGACATAGTCTGCTCATCGCCCTCCTTGAAACGGCGCGGGACGCGCTCGGGCGGGCCCCGATTTGAATGCGAGGCCTGCTCGTCGAGAACGGCGCTCTGCGCGCGTCGCCGAGCTGCGCGGCCTCGCGCCGGCCTGGCGCCCGCGCGCCGGTTTCGCAGAGTCCTGGCGCAAAGACTCTGCCCGCCACTCGCGCGCGACGCGCAGCTGCGCGACGCCACCGCGCCGCGCTGCTTCGAGCGGGCGCGCGCCGGCCGGGCGAGCGCGCGCCCGGCCCGAGCGCCCCGCCAGTTTCGCCGCGTCTCCGGGCCGCAGTGTTCCCGAGGAGAGCGCGTCGCCAATTCGACCGCGCCACTTCGTGATCTTGTCGGGCGAGGGGCGCGCGAGAAGCCGCCGCGGTCTGCGCGGAGTCGAAGGCCTGGGGCGACCGGCGGCGCGCCCGCGGCGACTGCGCCCACCGCGATCGCAGGAGGCCCGGGGGCGCAGCGCGCGAGGCGCGCGATGCGCCCGAGCGCGTGCCCAGCGCAGGCCGCGCGCTCGGTGCCACCGAGGTCATCGATGCAGCGCAGCAACGGAATGTGAGATGAGCGCGCCGACCCTCTCCCGCGCGCGCACGGACGCCACGGCGCCGAAGGACGCGGCCAGGTGCAGTTCCACATGGGCAACGCCCTGCGCGACGAAAACAAAGCAAAGGAAGCGGCGATGCATCGGCATGGCGGACGGCCTACGGAAAGCCGAATCGATGTCGGTTTTGAAGGACGCGATGCGTTCGCGCGTGCCCTGCGCCATAGCCACGCGACGCAGCGCGTCGTTGGACACGGTGCGGAATTTCTCATCTGCCGAAGTGCCTTCGTTCATTTTCGAGCGCGTCAGATCGTCCATTGCCCGCGCGCGCGTTGCCGTTGGGCCGCGCTTGCACGACTCTGAAGCGCGGTGACAAGAGACGTTTGTGTTGAGGTCGGCTTGCGGCTTGCTCAGCCGTGACATGCTGGGTGAAAACAACATCTGAGAAAACCCAAGTAGTGGATTCTTTGAAAATTAGTCGTATGAATATTGAGATCGATTGCGAGATCGGCAACGAAATTGATAGTGGATTCGATAGGACGATTGTAAGGTCGATCGTGAGACCGAGAGTGAAATCGATTCAATGAGATCGATAGGGAGATCGATCGCGAGATCGCTCGCGCGATTTCTAGTGAGATCGCTTGCGAGATCGATTGCGAGATCGCTTGTGAGATCGATGGTGAGATCGATAGAGAGGTGGGGCATGAGATCGATGCTGCGACCGATCGATAAGAACATCGACCAGGAACCCAGGAACCTGGGAACCTCGCCGCCCACCGAAATCGGCCCGGGAACCGGGGGCCCGGGAAGCCCGAAACGGGGAACCCGGGAACCCAGCGCGCTAGGGCCCCTTCAGTGCAAGCGCTGATTGGGGACAAAAGCTGCTGTGGCAACGTAGCCGGATGCGCGCCCTCTCTAAGGGCCGCCAGCAATGCGCGGTCGGCTTGGGCTGCGCCATGCAGCGAACATGCTTGATGTCGGTTGCGCTGCGGAGCACTGCGCGGGCATTCCGCTGCCCGAGACCGCGAGCGGGCCCGCAGCTGGCGCGCCGCGGCGAAGGAATTCGACGCGCGCGGCGCTCTGGGAATTAGCATTGGCGGCGAGTATTTCCATCGGCGGCCCGTCGACGTCAGTCGCCACCTCGCGCGCGCCTGCATCGGCCCCGACAAGTCAACGGGCCGCGGCGCCCGGTTCGCGTGGCGCCCGCCCCGCAGATTCAGTTTCGCCGCGGAAGCTCTCGCGTTCGGCAGAACTCTGGGCACAGTGGCGCGCGTGCACCCGATCCACTGCGGCCCAGACGTCGGCGCTGATGTCGACGGCTGGTTCGAAATCGACTTGCGCGCGGCGCGCGCCGC